CCTTTGATACTGAAGTTGGTAAATGTTGGTAAAGTCCTGTTAATCTATTTTTTTTCTTTTGTTTCTCATGTTTTTGGTCTCATATTGGAGTTTATTTCTAAATCCAAGTCCAGGGAGATTTATCCCTATGTTTTCTTTGAGAAGTTTAATGGTTTTAGTCTTACATTTAGGTTTCTGATTCATTTTGAATTAATATTTGTCTATCATGTGAGTGAGGTAGATGTCTAATTTACTTCTTTCAAATGTAGAAATCCATTTGACTCAGCCTCATTTGTTGAAGAGACAGTCTTTCCTCTTTAGTGAACTTGATCCCTTGGCCAAAAAATTTATTGACCATAGCTGTATGGCGCTGTGGTGTGGATATGGCTGGTCTGTCCTTTGCAGCTGCCCGTGCTGGAAGCTAGTCTTCAGTGTGGCGATGTGTGAGTTAGTGGATCTTTAAGAGGCGGGGCCTCATGGAAGTTGATTAGGTCATGGCCGGCTGACACGGCTCTGAAGTTCATAGCAAGGAATTTGGACTTTATACAACATGGATTAAGAAGGTTTTGGGAGGCTTTAAACAGAAGTGTGATATGATTGGATTTACATTCAGGAAGACTGCCACGGCTGCTTGGGAAGCATGGACTGGGGGCAGAAGAGGGGGCGGGAAGGCCAATCAGGAGTCTGTTGCAATCACGCAGTGAGAGGTGATGTAAGCCCTGATGAAAGGCTTTTTATCCCTCCTTCTTCTCTTTCACCCAGCGCTTTGCTCCAGCAGCCATCCCCCTCGCTCCCTTACATTCTCAGTCCCTTTCTCTTTCCCTTTTCTTTTCGGTCTGTGCCTACTGGTCTCTCCTATAAAATGACCCTCCCATGGCATAGTCTTCGCTTCACTGAGTCTTTCTTGGTGCCAGTTTCCTTCTTCAGCTTCTCATGAAGAATTTTCAATAGAAATATATAGTTGTTGCCTGACCTTTACCCTTTCCATTTCCTGCTCTGTGCCTTTATTTCTGCTCTTTATAATCATTCCATAGCTAAGTGATTCCTCCCTGCCCGGTAGGGCCCGCCTCATCTTTCTCTCCCTCACTTCCACCCCCTGCCCTCCCTGAATAGTTTGCTCAGTATTGTCTCCATCGGCAGGCTCCGCTTGTGGACTATAGCAAGCCTCGAGTTAGTCTTTTTCACAGAAATGACTGAATGCTGATAGTCTAGAGATAAGCCCAACCCATCTTACGGGGATTTATCATGTCCCAGGCCCACAGGGAATAGCCAGTGTAGTCACATATTGTTATCTCCCTTTTTCCAGCATAAGGGAACAGAGCATCTTTGTTCCTGTGTAAAATTAACCCTTCCATCTATGTAAGCTATTGATTAAGTCATTCATTTATGATGTAAATATTTCTTGAGGCCCAATCTTGTGTCAAGGGCCAATTATAATTATCATATTCAAGACAACTTGCTTCATTCAGGGTCTAGCATATGCCTTGTACATATTAAGTACTTAACAGATGTTATATCTAAGGTGTTCTGGTTCTGTTTCCATGTTCTAGCCATCTGTCCATTGTAGTAAGATATATTTTTAGTAAACTCTTTATTTAGGCATCTCTCTGTCTTCTTTTTTTTTTTAAAGATGGGTCTTGCTATGTAGTTTATGCTGGTCTTGAATGTACTAGGTAACCCAGGCTGGTCTTGAAGTCAGAACAATCCTCCTGCCTCAGCCTCCCAAATGCTGAGATTACAGGTGTTCACCCCCATCCAGGCTTTCTATTTAAGTATATCTTATATTCAGTAAACAGGTCGTAAGTGACTCAGTGGCCTTTTACATGTGTATACTGAATAACCTCTACTTGGATCAAGATATGGAATTTCTCCTATATCTTAGAAGGATCTATTCTGCCCCACCTCTTGACATATTTTTGACTATATACATAGGAATGAAAAGACGTTACATTTTTATTATACATTTTCTGTTTTAAGTGTTTATTAATGTTCTAGAATAAAAAAGAAGCATGTGCTTAAGGAGATTGAAGCAAAAAGCTAAACAAGGGCATGTGAGCCTTTGATACCAATTGACTATTGGTATTAAATTGGTTGGGTATTTAAGAGCAACTTCACTCGACTGAAGAGATGTGACTAGTAAAATCTGCTGTAAAGTGATTTTTTCTCTCAAAAATAATCTTTTCCCTTCAATTCCTATTATAAAGCTGGAAACGCCTCTGGGAGAACAAATGTTGGTCTTCTAACACTTAAAAAACCCAATTTCCTGATAAAAGCTCATCAATAACTTCAAAATGTTCATAAGAGTCACAATCTCAAAATTCTTTGCAGCATTCCAAATAAATCACAGAATCAAAGTGCTGGAAGTGGGAAATGGAATAAGGAACCCTGGTAAGGCGGTAACGTAGTGTCCTAGCATTCGTAGGCACAGTGATGCCATAAACGGGGCGTTCCAGGAGCTTGGTTTAGCTCTCAGTACCAGCAATGTGACTAGTCAGTTTGCTTTTCTGAATCCTAATCAATTCACCTCCGATAATAGGATTAAAATATAAAAGCCCTCTCTATCTGGCAAGGTTTTGGGGAGTATTAAATGAGGAAATCTTGTGCTTTTTAAAAGTTGTTTATCCATTCAAACAGTATCTACAAAAAGGGATCAGTGGACCTGGTTCTGTACAAGAGTATAAAATGATGACCAAAATGGTCACAATTTCTGCCTCTCTGCTGTTAACAATCAACTGTAGAGCAGAAATCATTGCACTCGAAGTTCTCATTGTACTGTGTAATGTAATTGGGAATGGTAAGCAGTCAATTAAAAAACTTGGTTACAGTAAGAAACTGCAAAAATGATACTTAGATGCCTTCAATACTATATTAACTAAAAACACTCACATATGCACTCTTCAATATTTTAATGTAGAAAAGTCTTTTTCTTGGAGTCTGAAAAGTAGAGTTCTGCATACTTTTTTTTCATAAACCACTTTCTTAAAAGAGAAACAAGATATTTCTGAATCAATACAATCGCATGATCCTTGTGGAATGTTATGGTTATTTTTACCAGTGTTTGGTATTTTCTCACCTCCATCCAGCAAATATGTTCTTTAGGACTTGCATTTATTGATTCTTCCAAAGCATTCAATTTAAAAACAGCAATTTTCCTCTAGTGATCACATTTCACTTATTTGCATAATATTTAATGAAATTACATAATTGTAATAGTGAGTAGTGGGTACATCTGCCATAAACAATTGAGACATCAAGGGCAATGTCTCTGGGTTGCTAAACAACTGAATTGGATGTGAGGCATTTGACTGAAAGTAACAAAGTTTGTAGCTAAAACTAACTTTAAAGTTTTGTTTTTTAAAAAAATGCATAGTAAGGAACTCACTGTTCATAGTAAGAAACTTACCATGGATAGTAAGAAACACATTTGTTTTCACCAAGTACATGTGCGTATACAGAGGGTAAAATGAAACTAATTTCTACAAAGAGTACTTATTGTGTTGTGTGATACTGCCTGGTGTTTTTTAATGCTAGACTATCTTTTCTGTTCTATTAAAAAAAATGCTAATTATGACCCAGTAATATAATCTCATACCCTTCTAATGGGGTGTACTTCTCAGTGTGAAAAACACTAGCTTAAACAAGGAAACATCTATTATTTCACACAGGAAGAAGTCTGGGGGCAGGGAAGCCCTTGAGTGTCTGCACTGGCTCACTGCTGTTCTCCAGGTCACAGTATTTTCCATAGATTTTTGTTCGTCATTCTCAGAGAGCTAGAAAAAATTCCCTCATGATGCAAAATGACTCCTATATTTAGCAGTTGGTACACATAGATGAGACTGTACCCACCGAAGAAGAGAGAGGAAACTTTACCCAGAAAGCCCTGAGTTCTTTTCTCCTCAGGTTCCCATTGGCCAAGATTGGTCACATGACTACTCTCCGGCCTGATTCTCAGTTCTAATGTTCTCATTGGGTAGGACTGGTCAAATGTGCCACAGTTGCAAGGGAGGCTGGGAAAGCTGGTGACCAGCATTTTTAGTCTCCATAAAAAATATGGCCTCTTCTAAAAAGGCAAAAAAATGAGTGTAGGGAAGGTTACCCAGTGTGAAGGGCACTGTGGCTTGGCAGGCATGAATGCGTATTCTACTTGCTCTGGGAGCCACTTGTGTATTTTACAGAAGGAGGGTGTAGACAGGGTTTCTTTATCCAGGGGACTGGCAAAGTGGAGGTTGCTGAGGTGAGCACACAACTGAAGTATGGCAAAGTCTATGAAAAAGAGATCTACGGCTGTCATAGATTTGTATGGGCCAGGGTATTGGAGGGCCTCTCCAGAAAAGTAACTGCATGAGCCAACGTGGGGAAATGGGTCATGGTGGTGGGTGGTGGAAACAGTGTCCCATGCAAAGCTTATGAGAAAGCTAAAGAGGTAGGAGAGATCAAGGCCCATGCCATGTTTATTCTACTATCTACCTCCAATCGGTCCCGTTTTGTACTAGGCACTGAGGGCTCAAAGTGGGAAGGACACCTGTCTCCTGCCCTTGGGAAAGTCACTCTGTGAACATTCGTAATGAACATTCGGAAACCAAAGGTGAAAATATGCCTTCAAAATGCGTGATCCCTTTGCACAGAGAAAGGAGTTTACCTGGCAGCTCTAACAGGCAGGGCTTGATGTGTGGAGTTGGTGGGGTCCTGCCTTCACAGAGGACCAGTGTGACCGCAGGCCCAGAAGACAGGAAAGTGGAGCCAGGCTGGCCACTTGGTGGGAGTGTGTGGTGCCAATAGCTGAGGCAGAGAAGGTTAGGGTATGGGTCAGGTCATGTTTGTCCTTACTCCCTGCACTGAACCCCAGCCATTTGTGGCCCTGACCTTGGCTAACTTTCCTGGCAGTAAGTATGACACTGTGTCTTGGGAGAAAGAAGGAATGACTCAGGCCTTGCTGTTTAGCAGTGTGACCGGGGAGTGGCCTTTGCCTGGCTCATGTCTTGGCACCAGCAAAGGTGCCTTTCCAGTCTCTTTGGAGAAAGACCAGTCTCTGGATGGTCAGAGGGTCAGAAGGTGTCGTGTCTCCCTGGCCCTCCTGGGCTGACTACAGAGTGGGCGGTCCCTGCAGAGAGCCTGAAAGAGCCAGGACAGTGGGCCTGGGCTGGGCCTCTACACTCCTGCCTCTAGGAGGTATCCAGGCCTGAAAGTCATGGGCAACAGTGCAGGCAGCACAGTGAGGCACCGAGGCCACAGATGATAACATGCTGGTAGGTGAGCTTTGGGGACACCCTGGGAGGCTCAGTGGAGCCATCAGGATTTGGGCTGGGCAGTGTTGCTGTCCTGTGGGGTTCTCAACCTGGACATGGCTGGCATTTGTGTGTGTGTGTGTGTGTGTGTGTGTGTGTGTGTGTGTGTGTCTTCATTTTGGGGAATTGTCCTGTGTATTTGAGGATGGGCAGTAGCATCCCTGCCCTGTACCCACTGGATGCCAGTAGCACTCTCGTCCCCATTGTGGCAACTGGAAAAAATTACGCATATCACCACATGTCCCTTGGGACTGTAAAATATCCTGAGTGAGAACAATAGCCTTGGAGTGAGCAAAGGGTCAATGTGGACCTTACCCACAACAGTGGGTTCTCCTGGGACACAGAGATGTTGCCTGTTGCTCTGGAGCCACTTGGAAGATGGAGTAGAGAGGGCAAAACTGGAGACCAGGCTCCCGCGGAGGGGCTTGTGGCATTGCTCTGGAGAGGACTGGCAGCTGAGGAGGGGGAAGGAGTGAAGGATGGGTGGGATGTTGGGTATGGGGCCTGAGGAGGGTGGCGGGAGAGGAGGGTGACTTCAGGTGTCTGGCTTGGGCAGCATGATCCAGCAGCCAGGGAAGGGCACCCGGATGGGAAGGACACCCAGATGGGAAGGACTTTGGTTCTCGGCTTTGGGAAGAGGGAGTGGGAAAATCCGCTGAATCTAGTCCTCTTTCTTTGGTCACTCCCACCATCTCCAATGCTGTCAGAAATTTTTCCCTTAGCATCTCCAAGAACTGCTCTGCAGCCGCTGCTCTCCACAGTAGGAAGTGTGATTAGAGACAGGAAGGGTCACCCTCCTGGCCAGAGCTGTGTTGCGTCTTTCCAGCAGAAAGCTCGGGTTCCGGCCATGCCCTTGCTACTGTCTGACATTAGCTCATTTTAACTTTAAGGGAATGAGAGTGTGAAGTAAGATTTCTAGCCAATCTTTGAAGGGTGAAGGCAGCCCCAGATTATTAGTGGCTGGGGGAGGGACAGTGAATAGAGAAAATGTCACCGTCTCCTGGAACTTCAGGCAAGTAGAGGAGGCTTTGTCATGGAAGGTCCAGGCAGGCAGCAGCTGGCCCTTTAAAAAGAACTGATCTCAGCGGGACTTTCACTCTTCTGGGAAAGGGCAGGTTTTCTGAGCAAGGATGACCTTCCGTGAAGGCTGGGCTCCTTTGGTAAACTTGGTCCTCTGGAGGGCTGAGTCTCGGACAAACTGATGCTGCATTGCGGCCACTAGCCAGGACTCAGGCTGCAGGAGGTTATTGGCTTTACGCTTGGGCTGCTTCTCCCCTTCTGCTGCTGTCCTCCTGGCACCCTCCTTCCTCCTCTTTCTCAACAGCAGTGGAACCTTTCTGGAACACTTGGCATCCCTCCAGGCCTTCTGAGGTCCATCAAGAACAGAGTCTGCCCTTGCAGACAATTGAAATGCAAGGGCAAGCTGTCCAAAGAGCAATTCAGGAGGCATAATTCAGCACTAAATATATACTCTAAGGAGCACAGGGACCATCTCACTGCTCTGAGCCAAGACAAGCACATGCTTTCTATGATTTTGTACCATTTGTTCCCTTTGCCTTAAATGCCTCCTGTAGTGGACTCTTGACATTGTCTTTGGCCACCCAGAATTTGAATGCCCTTGTTATGCACTTTGGAGGGTGCAGAGTCCATCTGCCAGAATAGGAGCTCAGAATGCCAATGACTACTTTCCCAGCCTCCCTTGTGGCTGGGGCTTGGCATGGCCCCAGACTCTACCAATCTGATGCTCTTGGACTGGCCTTGAGATCAGGAGGTGTAGAACTGGAATAGCACAACATGGAGAAACCACTTTGGGGCTGATGGTTGTGGCTGTGATGTCTTGTGCTAGGGGCAGGGTGAGAGTAGGGGTGCTCATTGGACCAATTCTGTGACATGGTTTAGGGCAATGCTTTGGACTCTATTGCTTTAAATGTGACTGTCCATCTCTCCCAGCAGATCTGTGAATTCCCAGAAACCTCTTAGTGAATTCTTTTCTTGTTTAAAAGAGCACCTGTACTCTCTTGCAACATGAACTCTGACTAGAGCACCCTTTGCTATAGACCCAGTGTTTATGTTGCCCCAGGATTCGTATGCTGGAGTCCTAACACCCAGTATGACAATACCTGCAGGTGAGACCTTTGGGGAATGACTAGGGCCTGATGCTGAGCCCTTATGAATGGGATTAGAATCCTTATTAAAAAGAACCCACAGGGCTGCCTTGTACCTTTTGCCATGGTAGACATAGTAAGAATAGGGTCATCTATGAATCAGGAAGTGGCTCATCAACAGGCACACAATCTGCCAGCACCTTGATCTTGGATTTCCTGGCCTCTGTAAGGCTTGGTTTCTGATGTATATAACACACCTAGTCTGTGGTGTTGTTTTAATAGTCGCCTGAATGTACTAGAACTTTTAATAGTAGCCTGAATTTATCTTTCTTCCATTGTTTGTCAAGTTCCAATTCACCTTTAATCCTTTTAAAGAACGTCTCCTACCGGAAGCTTCTAGATTTCTCAAGCTATTTGTAGCTGAAGCATCTGGGCTCCTGGGTGTGTGCACAAGGTCTAATGAGAGCCGTGGCAACGTAAGGGAATGTACGTGCACTCACTCAAAACCTGTGAGTAATTTGTGTGTCTACTGGGTGTCAGGGTGGGGAGGAAGAATATGAAGGAGAGATAGTAAAGCAAAATACTTATGGGGTTGAGCTCTGGAGTGAGTTCAAATCCCAGCTCAGCCACATACTACCTAAAAGTTACCTACAATCTCCAAGCCTCAGTTTTTCTTCTGGAAAGTGAAGTTATGAGTAGGAGCTATCTCATAAGACTGTTGTGAAGATTAAAAATGGCGCATGAGCAAGCGATTTAGAAGAGAAACTGGTACTCAACAAATGGTAAATATTAGTTACTATTTTTGCAGATGGTGGGGTGCAATAACAAGTCAGGAGATGCAAGTTCTACCCTAACTTGGCCACTGGCTTCCTGAGGCCCGGGCAAGACTACTTGAAACAAACAGAATCCTATTTCAAACCAGCTTAAGCAAAGAAAATGGGACTCAGAGGTGGAAACAATGAAGGTGGGAAATCACAAGAGCCTGGAGCCAGGAACTGGAAAGTCAGTGTCACCAGGCAACAGTTCGTACCATTGTGACCTTTTTTTCTGGAGCCAGTGCATTTGTATTCTTTCCTTATTTATACTGATCCAGATGCTGTTTTTCTATGTTTCTCTGTGTAAATACCTCCCCAAATTTACACATATAAGCTAGCTAATTGTTTCTGAACCCTAATTCTCAATTCATAGCAGAGAATCTGAGGCAGTCTCTGGATGAGAGCTCCGTCTCTGGTCCAATCAGCTGTAGCCTAGAGATGAAGTCATGTGGTAGAAACATGGCGCCAGGACCCAATCCAGCAAATGGGGCTGGCTATCAATGATAGTCATGGGGAAGTGGGCAGGCTCACCTTCTGTCTCAGTTCCTTATCTATACAGAATAGTTCCATGGGTGTGCTGGCTGGAATGTTTTTCAGCTGCAAGTAACAGAATACTCAGCTAATAGTGGTTGAACTCAAATACTTTTATCTTCCTACATACCAAGAAGCCTGGAAATGGGTGTGTTGGGGTTGGTTCATAGGTCAAACTTGTCATCAAGAAGCTGGTATCTTTCTGCCCTTCAGCTATGCCATTCTTTTACTTTTTGCTTCTATGCTTGTCACTTTGTGGTTGCAAAAATAGCCACAGCATCTCAAGCATCACACCTTTAGAGGCTCGTATAAAAACCAGGATGCACAAGCCCTCTCCTCCTGCAGGGATTTCTTTTATCAAGGATTCTATTAGAGATTTCTTCTTACATTTCATTGGCTAGTAGCATAAAGACAAGAGAACTTGAGAAAGAATCTGCTATTTTTAACTTCTGTTATTGGAGAGTCACTTCACCAGGAAGGAAGAAAGTGTAGGGGACTGGCCAATGAGCAGGCAAACAACCTCACCTGCCATACTGAGATTTAAAGCATGGTTATATCTAGAAAATGCTATTTATTGTCTGCTTAAACTTAGGGAATGTTTAATGCTGTTGTCCTCATAGAAATGCAGAGATCATCCAGCATATCATGTCCAAAAGGCTGTGCTGAACTCCATTTCTTTCCAAGCCCAAAGAGACATTCTGCATGAGTGGCTACAGTATATGCGTCTGTGTAATGTTGCGCTCACAAAGACCCAGTGATGTGCTGGCATTGATTCTGGCTCTACTGGGTTCTTTTCAGTTCTTCAAAAATGCATCCAAAGATGTTTTTACTTTGACTTTCTTCTTTTCATGGTAAGAAGACACTTCTTTAAACAGCGCATGGGCCAACACTAATGAATAACGCAGTGGCCAAGACTAAAATGGATGCGCATGACTGCTTCACACCATCTGTGGGAGCAGGCAGAGTCGGCCTACATTTTTTTTTTAGTGCATAGCTTTGTTCTTATCTGTGAATGTTTGTAAGTGGAGGAATTTCAGGGCAGATGTGAAATTGTTTTTGAAATATGGGTGGCTATTATAATTTGCGTTCTTTATTTTCTTTTTAAATAGAAGTTTTCTTTTCTCTGGCACTCACTGCGGCTAGAATGAAAGCCCAAAGAAAAAGAGCTGAGGGCTGTTGTGCTGAGATGTCTTCTTTCCCAGTGCATGGTACAAAGTCACAGGTTGTGGGTGTGCTTATCTGGAGTCACTGAACACCTTCTTCAAGTTTGCAGGCGCTGTCATGGGCCTGGAGGACTGCAGGCAAAGAGCACAGACTTTGGGGCTGCTTGACTTTGTTTATGCTCATCTCTGTAATTGCCCTCTCGTAGGAGGCGGAATAAAGATCTGAACTTCCAGCTTAGGCTTTGCCTTATTTAAAAGTTACTCTGTTCTTTGTGGCAAATCTTCTATCCCAGGTCCAGGCCCGAGGAACTTTGTATTTGTTCAGTTGCTGCAAGCTTCTTTCATAA